GCTCAGAAAAGAACATTGCTTTTGGCTAAAGTATTTAAATGGTCACTTATATAAACTGATTGGGTATATGGAAGTAAAATCAACACGTGTTACTCTATAAAACTAAAGATCAAACTTCAGGATGGGGAGTAAAGTGGCATTATAGCCTTCCTTGTTCAAATTTACTTCCTGACTGCACCTAATTTTATATTGATAAAGATTGTAATTAGAATGTATAAATGTTGATAAGACTTAGATGTCTGCAGAATAAGTATTATGTTGATTATTGGTCAAACAGATGATAAGTCTTGGCATCTGTAGTAGGGGCAAATGATGACAAATATGTCATGATACAATTGATGCAAACGATATAATGTGACATTGTTACAGCATGTGCCAGAAGCCTATGGACATCTCAAAATTAACTTTAAAATGCTGCTTTTCAGCTGATCACAAATGCAAAAAAAGAGAGATGCTATTAAAGTATTAGCAGTTAGATTACACAAGGGGCCAGAGGATTTAATTTATTCCCATCTGGAATTAACTGATTTTTGGTGTTTGTGTTTAAGTATGTTTCTGTCAATTTTTGGAAGCAAGTTCAGAGGCATAGTTTTTGGTGAGGAACTGGGCTATCTCAGAAATAGATGAATGCTTACCCAGGTGCAACTCTAACAATAACTACGGGAAATAAAGTTACCTTAGTATGACTATCTGAATGTAATGCCAAACCTTTAACTGTACAAGGCTGGCTGAGGAATTCTGAGAGTTGTAGTCCACATATCTGAAAGTTGCCAAGGTTGAGAACACTGGTTTATTCTAAGCAAAGCTTGTCCTTGAAAGTACACTGTAATCTAGCCAGGAACTCAATCTACTTCCTCTCTGTTCCTTGGGAATGATAGAACTTCACAAGTAGTACTTGAGGGCAAGAGAAGCCTATTCAACAATATGGTCTCATTAACTCTCTCCAGCGACCCTTCAGCTACTGATGTTACTTCTGTGGCCAAACAGACTGCCTTCAAGTTTAACACTCCACGATTTGGATTAAGAAACTAATACAATTGTCATTTTAGTCATGCTAACTCTTGACTACATGCATATTATTCTGACATGAACCTTTCATTTCCTAGGCTAGAATCCTGCATTGTTCTGTAAACCACTTGATTGCCTTGCTACTTGGAGACACCTATTGCAAGCTATGTTTTCTGCCCAGAAAGCTTCTAAAGCTGACATTACCACAAATTACTTGGAAATGAAGTCCTTCTGCACCTCTGGGTCAGTCAATTCTTTCTCTTTTGCTTTTACCTTGTGTACATCTACTTCTACTTGTCTCTCTTGTTCTAGATCTCACAGAACAATAAAAGGGGCAGCCAGAAAATCTTGGGTCAAAAATCAACACACCAACCTGCAATGGCAAGAGCATGGCCAAGGCCTAGTCCAGAGTTTAAGGCAAAGGATTGTGGAGTCCTTGGGGTTCTCTGAGCGTGGTTGTTTTCTTGCTAGAGCACTGAAGACGTTACCTAGCTGGGTAATGAAACGTTTGCAAGAAACAACCAAGCTCAGAGAACCCCAAGGACTCCACAGTTCAACCCTGAACTACACATATTCTCTTCTATAGGCAAAGGATTCCAGTGTATGAGTAAAGTTCAGAAGATTAAGCAGGAAGTTCTAGCAGTGGTTACATTATCAGGTAGTCAAATGAAGAATTAATTGTGAGGGACAAAACAGGCCGGGCTGTAGAGATGTTATTTCACCATTTGAATGAGTCGAGACAAAAGCTTTTATCCCAGGCCTCCTGCTCTCAGTTGGGCTGGTTTGATTAAACTGTAGTTGTTACTTCTGAATAGATCAAGAAGTCCAAAGGACTATTCCTAGAAGTCTGGCATCTCCTTACTCTCTGACGCTTGACTTGGAGAAGTAAATGGTCTTGTGCACTTAGTGAATATGTACTGGCTTTACAATCTGAATGCAGGGCTGGGAGGGCTGAAAAGTAGTTTTGCCAAGACCTTAGATTTAGGCTCTGGCTCCTTAGGACTGGTTTCCTCTGTTTATTCTCAAACAGCTCCTGCTACTCCTTTGAGATTCATTTGAGGGGACCATGCTGGTATCCAGTTCCCACGTGTTCCTATCTAGAGCTATGGGTGGAATATAGCACTGTTATGGCTTCCCCACCTCTTCAGCATTGGAGACCCTCATCTAATGGAAAAGACAAGGATAAACAGTAAGCCCTGCTGTTAATACTTTAAAGAGTTATGATAGCTGATCTACATATCTACTCCAAAGAAGATTTGTACCCGTACTAATTAAAAACTATTTTCAACATTTAATAATAACTTAGTAAATGTGCATCAAAGTATGGTTTCAATTTGATTCATTGTCATGAAGCAATGACATGGTTTTTCCTTCATCATTTCATTGCATTTGTCGAGTTTGCCACCGTGTGCTCACAATTGAGTTTTATATACAAAACTGAAAATGTTTCTTTGGTGAACTGTAATTATTGGTACTGATCATGGACAATAGTTTTCTTAGCTGAACATGTGATCACAATAAGGCTATGCCATTATTTCCAAAGACGACAGCTGCTGTTTGTAGTCCATTGACTATCTTGTCAAAAAAAAAAAAAAGTTGGGTTAAAAAGCAATATATTATTAACACTAGGACTATTTTGTATGATGTAATGGTGGCATAATGCCCTTGTGCGTAGATCACAAAGATGCACAGTTCCCTGCTATTCCTGCCTTTGTGTGCTTTTATAATTTGACAGGGATTTCATTCAGGAATAAAGAAGGCCGATTTCATTCAGGTGTTCATGAAGTAGCATGTGAAGTAATCTATGGCTGGTGATGAGCCATTAATACCCCTTCTATGTTGTTAGGTGCACTGGTGGCTCAAATCTAGCCTAGGAGACATCTGTAGCTAATTTGCAAGCAAACAGAACAATTAGCCTATGGAGACTATAAAATTACATGACATATAATGCCTTTATCATTACTGAACATAATCATCTTGCTGTCAATTACCATAATGTTGTAGATACCATACTATTGCCCTCCATGTGTTGGACCATAACCTCGTTTCTATAGTGGTCATGCTATCTGGCAATTCTGAAAGGCTGATATTGACTTTTCCCTGCTATTAGGTTTTCCTACATTGTGTTTTGTCACTGTTTTCATAAACAACATAAAAGGAGGACTGCAAATTAAATGTGTGTTGTATCATTTTCCAAGAACTTTTTAAGTATGGGAGGGTAGGATAATTTATGAGATGAACCAGAAATGAAATTTAAAAGCATAAAAACTACTGTTGCATTGTGTTGCATTTTCAATACTTAAAAAATTACAGTACTCTAAATCACCAGTAATAACATTCAACCAAATGTTTATGCATTTTGTTGCACAACTAGTATTTTTCGAGACAATGAGTTTGCAGTCCATTTGTGATGCATTGATAATATATTACAGATATGTGAAAGATATAACCAGATACATAAAATGTACATTTTTCTATACATATTGAAAGCATTGTGGAACATTGACAACAATCTTTGCTATGATGATCTTGAAATAATTAATGAAACAATTTAGAAAAGAAGGCATGGTTTTAAAATTTGATTAAACATGGCTGAACTGTCCGATTTGAAGACTGGGTGAAACTTTAGTACTATCTGTATTAAACTGTGCTGATGTATATTTTGACTCTTTAAGATAGCACAGAAACTGCATAGGTGAAAAAAGGGGAAAGGAGTTAATAATTCTTTAACATGTTAATTTACACTGAGCTCTCCTTAAATTATTGACACAAGGCATCAAAAGAGGTTGGGAAAATTCAGCCTTGAAAGAATTACTTTTGCTAAAGAGCATGATGAGAATAAGACACATTTGTTTTTTCAATCCCTTATAATGATGATCATAGTCATTATGATTAAGGAGCACACAATTTCTGAAACATTACGTTTAGTTATGAATGATAATGGCCACAATTGATTACACTTGACAAGAAGCATGTGGTTTGTGAAATACTAGGTAGAACTATGGATGTAATGAAAGAGAAGAGCTTGGACATCTTGACATTGATAACTCAGTGGCAGTACAAACAAATGCCTTCATACTGCCTTGAGAAATTGGCAAACTAGAAGGAAAAGGAACCACTTTCCCCTACTGAAAGCTGCAGAGGGGAATACCAGAATAGGATGTGTAGAGCAAACACAGAAAAAACTTGTGAAGAATTTTTGTTCTACCAGTAACTATGGCATGTTATTGTAGAGGACTACAATAACATGCCACAAGGATACTATGTAGTTGCAGTATCCTTGTGGCACCCATAATTTCTTATGATATAAACATGTGGACAAACAGTTCTTGGAATGTATCACATTAGGGCAAAATTGAACATTACATAAGAAAAACTACAAATGTAGTTGAAGGGCATGCTGAAATAAACCAGTATTTCATCAAGAAGGGGGGTTTTTTTCCTCTAAAAATGCTCTTAATTTATGCCTTTTGGGTTAGGTCCTCCCCAAAAAGTTAGAAGTGGATATACAGTCTATAGGCAGTAGTTGAATCCTGGGATCACAGATAAGGCTCAGAGATACTTTGCCAAGTTAGGGAAAGGGTGTGTGTGCGCGCGTGCATTGGGGAGTGCAGGATCTATGTCGAATTGAGCTTTCAAGGACAAGCATACCAGGAACAAAGCTAATGTAGTTTGTTTGGCTTCCAGTCAAAATGTGGATGCAACCCAATTGACCGTGGTCGATTCCATGAACCATGACTTACTGCAACAGTTGAACAGACTTTGCATTGAAAGAAGGGCAAGTTCCTCTGAGTTTTTTTCTTCGGCATGGATGGTACACTGGCTCCCAGGCAGATGGGCATGCCATAGTAAAAGGAGTAGTGATGGCAGCTGACCCTGGTTTATATGCATTCCCTACTACTACGATAGTTTCCTCAGCTATAAGTATGTCTCATCCTCTATTTATCATGGATTATAGGATAAAATACAATGCAAAAGGACGGGGGGGGGGGGAGAAAGAAAGCAACTCGTGAATTGAAACGATCGGAAAATGCGCCCAATTTAAAAATCAAAGTTGGCATCGTAAGGCTCTTGAAGACGAGATTGGTAAGGCAACAGGAACTGTGCGGCGAAGTCAGAACACGGTTTTCTGAACGCCTCCCGCTCGGTCACCCCAGACAGAGCTCCTTGAACGGGGAGAAAGCGTTTGCCTTACGAGCCGCTGGTTTTCGTCTGTTCAGGGGCTCTCCGCTCTTAAAAGCCAGGGTTTCCATAGGGGCTCCCAGAAGGTGGGCCTCGGGGCTCCAGCTTACCCCCCCCCCAGGGCGGCTCAGCGCTCGCTCCTCCGCTCGGGAAAGGCTCGTCCGTGGCGGCGACGGGCTTCGGGGAGGCGCATGCTCTGCAGAGGCGGCGCCCTCGGCCAGCAGGTGGTGCTGCCCGCTTGACTCGCTCGCCTGAGCCTGAGCGCGGAGAAAAGTTGGGGGAGAGAGAACCGGGGAAGGAGGAAGAGGGCGGCAGCGGCGTTTCCATTTGCAGGAGCAGCGAGGAGCGCCTCGGCGGCGTGTCTACGAGTGTGTGTGTGTGTGCGTGCGGGGGGTGCGCGTGCAGGCAGGCAGGCGTGCAGGCGTGCGTTCCCCTTCTCTATATAGGATGTACCGCCGAATGGTTGGCTCTTTGCTGTAAGCACGCGTGCGGCTCGCCCTGCCTTGCGAGAAGCGCTGGGCACCAGCAGCAGCTGCCGCTGCTCCTCTTTCTCCCGGTCGGCGGGAGCAACCCAGGCAGCTCCACCGACGGGCTCTCGCTTTTCCCGGCCGCCGCCGCCGCTGCCGCTGCTATCGCCTGCCTTTTCCTTCCCTGCGCCGGCGGGAAGTCTCGATGTGCTGCCGCCAATGGCTGGGGCACAGCCAGGAGTCCACGCTCTCCAGCTCCAGCCGGTCCGCGTCTCGGCCAGCCTCAAGAAGGGCGCCACCTTCGTCAAGTGGGACGACGTAAGTTTACGGAGCTCTGCCGCCCCTTCTCCCCCCGCTTCACCTTCACCTTCCTCGATGTAGGGGTGCGGGGGAAACAAGACATCGCGATGCGACGGGCAGAGCTAATCAATGGACTGACATTGCAACATGTGCCAGAAGATGCGTTCCTGAGAGCGCGCGCTGCCCGGGGAAGGGGAGAGGGCGTCCGCGCGCGGGATGTGTGCTCGCGACCCAGAAGAGAGAGCGCGGAGCTGGCCAAGTTTCAGCCGCTGTGGGGCAGCCAGATTGCACAGTGGTTGCAGCCCAGCCGTAGAGCACATGCTCGGCATGCAGAATACTGAACATTTCTCCTTAAGTGTGCTCGGGTTGTCCAGCTAGATTTCCTGCGAGCAGGACAGACAACCCCGTTTAAGGTGGCTCCCGTGTATAAGGCCGCATCCTGTGTTTCTAAACGGCAGATGGTTTGACCTGGGAATTCAGGCTGTAAGAGCCAGCCTCTGGGTCAGAATAGATCCCTTTTTCTCAACAAGATGTGTGGGTGAGAGTGGCGAGGCTTTGTGTGAATGTGATCCTTAATTCTGACGAGTGGGCAGAGAGTGGGTAAAATGGGAAGTGTAGGTGCTGCCTGACTTAAAGTTAGGAAAGGAGCAGGAAGATGGAGCTTGCCAATTTTTCTGCAATGTAACATTGGAAAAGCTAGAGCATTGGTTCCTGGCAAGTTACCCATAGCAACAAGCGACTCGGTGCATTTATGTGGATTTAGACCAGCAGCTTGGTATTACGCTGAAGAAAAACATGCACAGTATGTGTGCTTGTGTGCATGTGCACTGGAGAGGGAAAACACAAAAAGGGGTAAATGAAATTTGGAATTGGAAAAATAAATGTCTCCCCCAAAGCGGCAGATATCATACCAATATTGCTTGTTCTTTGGCTTGAAAGATTTTTATACTATTCAATCATCAGATGCTGTCTCACAGAACCTTCTTTATAAGATGAATCTGCTGAGTTTACATTGTTTTTGTATAGCATAATTATCAGTTAATAGATAGATGCCCTGTTGTTAGTGCATGTGGAATTTTATCCCTTTGGATAGGCAGAAAGACATTACTGGCCCCAACAGACAAGCTTACAGTCTGAAACAGGCACTAGAAAAAAAAATGGATGGATGGTGCGATAAGGAAAAGAGAAAAGAGAGACCAGTAATTGAAGTTATACAAAAAAGGCTCAAAAATTAAATGATATTTCCTTTTTGCCTCTTTGCCACTATCTGGTAAGTGCAATTAAAGCACAGATGAGAATAAAAAGTTCGTTTTCTAAGAGGGGTTCACTTTTCCGTCTTACTTTCTGGTAGACTTAAGAGCAACAGCAGCATATTTGATTTCAGAGATCTAGTATTTATTTACCATGTGAATCACTTTCTCACCTTAGATAGAACACATGATCCTTGTTCAATAGGTGTAGGAACCTGCAGTCTTGTTCTCATGAAAATGGACAAACTCCGGTTTATGTTTTATCACTTTGGTGGGAGTTTGGCTGAATGTTCCTATATACAGCAAAGATGAACTTTGTACAGTCTTACTCCTAGGAAACCAGCTTGTTATAATGGACTGCAGCTTAATTTGTTAGATTTCAACATTGGTAGCTCTGTCAGACCTTTTTTCACTGGTTAGGCATGAAATGGCAAGAACAGATTTCCAGGGACACAAAAGCTCAGATAAATAGTTTTATTGTAGAAAGGCACAGAAGCTATTACAAAAGAATCTCAGTGGCTGTTGTTTATTAAATATGAAACAGTTTTATAAGTGAAATTAATGCTTCATTTTTGAGCATTTCCTGCTGCCTGAATAGACACCCCTCTTGTGGGTAGGAGGTGCCCCAATTTCTGTCTGATTCTTAAGTTGATAATGGACAGATCTGGTTATCAGGCTGTTTACTTATGTGAAACGAGCTCTTTCACTGACTCTTCAGGATACACTCAGTTGCTTGCTGTGTAAAGCTTGGCCACAAAGTTGGTTTTCTCTGTTTATCATATCTTTTGAATATGGATTTATAAATAGTGATTGCCAGGGAGAAGAGATAGAAATAATTGTTACGTTTCTAATTGAAATGCTGGGTCAACAGGTGTCGACCTGTATTTCATTTTCAGCTCTATCAGAAGTCACTAGAATGTTCTGTTTTTAATAGCAGCATAAATATGCTCATTCGTTCTAGTAGAAAAAGACATAAAGTATGCTGTTCCTTCTACTGTGGTTGACTGATAACACAAAACAGTTGGGTACAAATAAGAGTTAAGAAGCTTCAGATAAAAAGAACTTCCTTTGGGGTCTTTAGCCCTGATACGACCTTTTAAAGGGTTAGGGATAGGGAATAACTGTAAGTACAGCAAATTGAACTGTAAACAGTTGCGTTACAATAAGTTGAAACCTGAAGATTTTTTCTTAAAAGTACCCAAACATAAGATTGTTTGAGACGTTTATCAGAAATGTTGCAAGTTGTGGATACAGAACAAAGTCATTGGTGATCTGTAAGAGAGCGTATCTGTTATCTACCATGTCAGTTTGTGGGAGAGAAATTTTCTTGAAGAAAATGTTAAAAACAATTAGCCTTTGCCCTAGTCCAGAAGAAATGCATGCTAGTTTCCATGTAGGCAGGAGGTAGATTTCTGATGGTATATAGACGTTACTCATCTGGAATTGATTTCATACTAACAACACAAAATCTCCCTCCTGTCCCCCAAATTAGGCAGCTGAAATTAAGAGAATTTATGGAAACCAGGAGCTGCTATTTTTTTGGAAGAAAAAAAATGAACTCAATCCTGGTACTAAACGGTTACAATTAACTCAGTTCAGAATTTGCTCAGAGACACCCTGGAAAATTATTTTGCACATTGTTCCACCTGGTGATCTTGAATTCTAAATAAAACATAATTTTTAAAAAAAAGTTCACTACTGGTTCACCAATTAATAGGAGCATGTTTATTAATTTAAGAATTGGAAGGATAGTGATCAGAAGCCAGATATCCAGGGTTCTTTTGAGAATTAGGGCTTTGAAATATTTTTCTTGCCAAGTAATAAAAAGAAGCCACATGCTAGATTGTCAAAGCAGGAGCCTTCTGGATTAAAAGATTCTGTGCAGGTATTATTTATTAAAGTAGTTTGCCTTTAATTATAACGATTCATAAACTTCAAAGTATACAGATTTACCAAGTTATTCTATATGCGTGGCATCTATGTAATTAAGTTGTTTAAAGCTGCAAGACTTACAGACTTAAATAAATTTTGATCAAGCCTTCTATGGCATTTTTTTTCCCAAAAATTCTTCAGACAGCTGCTTAGTCACAATTTACAACAACATGTCATAGGCTACTTGTTCTTTGAAAACACCATGTCTAAATTACCTCACCTCATTCAATCTATTTTCTTGGCATAACTTCAGGCAACACAGAAGCTCTGTTGATGTTAAGTTTTGGGAGTGTTGCCTGTCTTAGTATGGTTAAGGAACAAACTCGGACCTCTAAATTTAGCTTTGGTTAAAAATGTCCCTGGGAACTAGAAGGTGAATTGTTGCAAGATCTCATGTAATTAGATGTAATCTAATCCTAAAGCCAAGCTAGACATGCAGATACATAAGATAATTTCCCAACCTCTATTTCTATGGGCTATGTAATATAAGGACCAGGTGAGAGCTGTAGACATGGATTATGCTGCTGCCTTTTTCAGGCTGGGGGTCACATTTAAACTTTGAGTGGTATGATGTGGGGCTAAGACAAACAAATAGGCAGATTCAAGACAAAAATGAAATTTAACTAAAACTATTTTTAGTTTAACTAAAAATAAACTAAATACAGATAATACAATTATGCTCTGCGTGTGGGTCTGTTTTTCTCTTCCATCATATTAAATACTATAAATTGGTAGTAAATTTTGGAGGAGCTTTAGGTATCACTTCAAAGGCTTTAGGGATCACAAATTGTGTGCTCCTAATTTGCTGCTTCTGTCCTTTCTCCAATTTAAACACCAATTCAGCTATGGAGATAAAAAAACACAGCTAGGAATATTGTGCCTTTCTGTTACTGGAGATAATCTCAATTGTGGAAGGACTGTGTGTGTGAGTGGGAGAGAGAAAGATTGCGTTACCTATGCTGTGATTCCAACCAAATAAAAACACTTCATTCATTCATTCATTCATTCATTCATTCATTCATTCATTCATTCCAGGTACTTTTGTGCCACTTCATTTGAGTGAATCTAAGCAGCTTACAAGTACCACGAAACATACAGTACATAACAAAATAATAATACGATTTATAAGTTATAAACATTCTAATTAATTTCATAACATCATAATAAATAGTAGTGTCGTATACCTTCTGGGTACCTAATTGTCAGATTTGTAATTCCCAAATGCTTGCTTTAGTAGGCAGGCTTTTAATAACTTTCTAAATATTAAAAGATATATCCTTGGTTCTGTTCAGTAGTTTAATAGCAAAAGTAGCTATACTTAAATTGAATAGAATGTATTTTTGTCATAGAGTTACTGCTTAAATGGGGCCAAGAAAAGATAGGAACCTAGAATAGCTGTCTATTTGTTTGTCTCTTTATTACTGCAGATTCTAGTGAATTAGAAAATAAGTCATAAAAAACACAACCCAAATAAATAACATTTTCTTTCATTGTTCATGGAAAACATGATCAGTAAATGTAAGTTGGGTTTATAAAGAAGTTTTTGAAACTGGCGTAGTCATATAAGGGGCTATATTGAAAGGTGGCACAAGCCAATCTCTGCTCAAAGTTCACAGCTAAATTTAAACTGCTGAAATAAGAAACAGAGGATGTAGTAATAAAATAAAAATTTAAATGGGAAAGTGTCAGGTGGGGCTAGAATCCATTTACTACATTTGCTCCCAAGTATCTATGTTGACATTCATTGAACACGTGGATGAATATTTGAAAATGAAATGGTCCCCTGAGGTTGAAGCATCTTACAAATGTTATAAATACATTTCTGTATATATTTTC